AGACAGGAAATATTTGAACTTTGTTAGCCTCACAAGGTACAAAGAGTTTGAAAATGCATAACCTACATTAGAGTGGTAAAAGTAAACATTTTATTTCATTTAAAAACAAGGGTTTATCCTGCCACAGATCCCATACTGAACTTTAGTATTAGAGATGCACAAGTGTGCAAATCAAAAAAATGTGTCTGCTTTTACGGGGCTTACCAACTACAGGGAGAATTGACGTTAGTAAACAAATAAGTACACAATGCAAAAAATAAAGTGTTCTTACAAATGAGGAAGAGTTATCAGAGTATAACAAAAACTTGCTCTACATGGAAAAGTTAGTGAAGACTCCCTGATACCATTATATTATGGAGACATCTGAGAGATGAATAATTTCAAACAAAAGATGGCAATGATCCAAAAATCAGAGTATTTCAGAGACAAACAAACAACAAGAGGAAAGGGCTTGTGGGCCTCCCTGGTGTTGCAAGGGGTTAAGTCTCAGAACTATGACATTATCCACAGCTACTGCAGCATAAGTTGGATCCCCAGTCAGGGAGCTGACCGACATGACACAGCAGACCTCTCCTGCCTTGCCTGCTACTCCCCTCAGCAGTGTGTTTCAGTTGGCCCACCTGTTCTGCCCCCTACTCTCTCTCTAGTGAATCCTCTCACCCCCTGTACCTCTGGCCTGTACCCCAGTTCTTGTATGCATTAACAAATAAATCTTTAAAAAAAAAAAAAAAAAAGAAGGTCTTGTATTGCACTGAAGATCGGGAATTTGGATTCCAGAATTGGTAGGTGTAAAAGGTGGGTTACAGCCTCGAAGGGAAAATAAGACACAAAAAACACAGAGATGGAGGAACATAAGAGAGACTTTGAGATTGATTGATATGTATAAGCTTTGGTAAGATTACTAAATGTCAAAGTTGTTAAAAACTATCATATTTTGGACCTCCCTGGTGGCTCATGGGGTTAAGCTATCAGCAGCTGTTGCAACATGAGTTTGATCCTCTGCCAGGGAGCTAACCCACAGGCACAGCAGACTGCTCCTGTCTCACCAGCTGTTCCCCTCAGCAGTGTATTCAGTAGATCCAACTGTTCTCTCCACTCTGTCTTTGCTGAATCCTCTCGTCTCCAACTCTGGCATGCACTCCAGTTCTTGTATGCATAAATGAAGAAAAATCATATTATATATATATTAAACTGATGATATATATAATATGATTAAAAATATATAATATATATTTAATTATATATTTTAATTATATATCATATATATACTATGATATATATAATATGATTAAAAATCATATTATATATATTAAAAATCATATTATATATATTTATAAAATATATATCATATTTTATTTTATATAAAATATATATTTGATATTTTATATACCCTTCCCTATATATTTGTCTGCTATCTATCTAGCCTACCTATGAATCATCTACCTACCTACCTATCTGGTGACAGCTTGGGAATATGTAAATTGTCTGGCCTTCACTGAATGAGAGTTAGTAAAAAAAGTTAGAAGGTGAGTTCTCTAGACTGAAAGATTTTTTCTCATCTGTATAGTATCCTGTTAGAATACTGATGCAAGCTTTTACTTTCTTGGTCTTTTCTTTATGCCTAAATTTTATCAACAGATACTGACCATAGAGCTTTACAATGTAATATTTTTGCCTAAAGATCAATAAAGAGGCTCAGTGCTATTTCAGCAATACTTAGTAATAAAAACCAAGCTTTAAACATCAAGAAGTTACCAAGTTGCCACCTTAGCCCTTTCAGTTCAGAGTGAGAACGCAAAGGCCCACAACACTCACCACAGAAGACAATGTTTCCAGCTACAGTTGGAGAAGCCACAGTGCAGCAAATGAGCTCTTTGCAGCTCCAACATGAGGTTCTCACTTCAGTACAGGTGATGTACGGTTAGTGAGAATAAATATACATTTAAGGGCTAAAGTTAGATATTTTTAACAAGTTATGTTTCCTTGTTGGTTTTATAAAACTTGCTCCACCATGCACCACTGGAGAATGGCAACTTTTATCCAAAATATGCATTATCAATTAGGACACCATTATTTGGAGGCTTTATTTTCTGTGTAGTATATCATTTTATAGAATAGCTATGAGATAGTGTCAAGGGCCAGGAAAGAGCTAAGCATATCACAACTGTCATATTGTTTTCTCTCTCATTGAAGTCTGAATGAGCTACTCCCCAATTTGTCACTTTGGCTTTAGTATTTATCTGTTTAGTTCTCTTGATGAAAAAGTGGTTGTCTTGGTGCTTTTAACTTAATATAAAAAATAAAACTTTCTCAATACTCCTGATAGAATTTGTAATTGCCCATTAAAATTGCAACTGCAAAATGATAATCATAACTGTTGAAACAACAATGCAGTATCCTAACGCCATAATATAATTTCAAAGAGCATGGGTAACATATCAGAGATAAAATAAAAACAATGTGTTGCATAAGAACTGAGTGTCAGCATATCACCCAATGGTAAATATTTTCTTATTTGTTTGGAGCTACAAGTGATCATCTTTATCCCTTAGAAGAGCAGGCAAGACCCATAAGCAGCAATCCTGTGAACTCTTTAAAAAGTTCTCAGTGGCACTGAATGACCATTAGAAGCTGGCTACTCAGTTTAAAATAATATCAGGAGTTGTAACTCTAGGACAAATATATTCAGATTTAGGCAAAATATAAGTGACTTTCTAGAGCATGCATACTTATGTGATCTTTGTTAAAGAAAGTATTTCTCATAACAGAATTTCTGATGTATTATAAGTTTCTACACCAGTAAAATAGTGGAAGCCAACATTTTCCAATGGAATTATGAGACATACACAAATAGCACAGTATAGACTATAATGTGTGCTAGTAAATGTTAAAATTCCCTCAATATGAGCCAACTAAGAAAAATGAAACAAGCAAGCAAAAGAAAGGATTAAATCATTTATCTTGTCTTTTTTCTAATGATCATACTTCAGAGTAAAAAATATTTGCCGTTAATAAGTTTTCTAGAATATTAGAGGCAGGTTTATGTGATGATGGTTACATGAGTTTATAAAATTTGTTAAACTATATACACACACACATAAATGCAAGCAAAAGATATGCATGTAAAACTGGTAAAATCTGACTAACCTGTTGTCAGTGTCCTGTTTTTAGCATTGTGCTCTAGTTATATAAGAGTACTATTGGAGAAAATTTGTAAATGGTAGGAGTGAGTTCCCTGTGCTGTATTATTATTGCTACTTTTGTCAAGCTGTATTCATTTCAAAATAAAAAGTGAAAGATAAAATCAGAACAGAAGACAATGTCTTTTTCCTTGCTGCTAGCAATAGCTGTTCTCATTTCTCTTCACTTAAGTCTTAGCAACATTGTTGGCTCCCTCACTAATGTCACATTCTGTTATACTCATTACCAAAATATCCTTTGCACATCAGTAAAAGGTAAATTCAGCAATTATCAATGCAATAGATATTTTCAAACAAAACTCATTGCATACATTGTTCATCTTGAAAACTGCATTTCTTGCTGATAACTGGGTTTGAAGATTTGTCAACCACACATGCAAATGATTCCTATTTGATTACGCAAGAAATTCACTCTCAAATTCAGTGTGCTTCAAAGTGAACCAAAATATGTGATTGGTGATAGACTTATTCCTAAAAACCTACCTAAACAAAAACAAAACAAATACAAACACAAAAATATTTTGAAAGGTTCCCACAATTTTCCAATGTTCATCCTTTTAGAAGTTTAGTGTCTTGTCATTTCCTTGAACTAATCATGATGAGCCACTTGGTTTTCAGTAAAATGAATGCCACCCCTGTCTCCAAATTGGGCCCAAACTCATTTCAGTTAATCTGTGTTTCTAAACCTTTAGCCACTGTAATATGTATCCAGCCTCCTCAGCTTCTATTAGATGGAGCGGAGACTCAGAGACCTCCTACAGGAATGAGGAAAATAAGCAGAACACATGAGACTTTATATGAACTTATTCTAGCTTCATAAATTGCAAAATGTGAAGGAAGTACTGAGGGTGGGCTCAGACCAGCTGAAGCAATTATAGAGAGTGTGTGTGTGTGTGTGTGTGTGTGTGTTTACATGGAACAGTAATGGGACTTCACTTTAGTTCTACCTTTTTGACTCCTGCCTTTACTAGCTGAGTTAAGGGGGCAGGGATCACAAGCTCAGAATGAGACAGGAAAATACTGATGACTATTCCAAAGAAAATTTAAATCCACACAATAAACAGACACAAAGAGATGGATTGATTTAAAATACATCACATGTGTCTGTGGAGATGTACAGCCTGGTTTCAAAAGTAAAGTCTCCTTGACAAGTTGCTTAGTCCAATCACACCTTAGTTCTCTCACTGGTAAAATAAGTATAATTATGTATCTTTATTATTAAGTCAGTCTCAGAAAGTAATGAGCCTAGAGCTAATTTTTACTGTTTAGCACAATGTAAATAATGAATGTGTCTTATTATTAAAAGGGAAATTTTTATTTGTGGAATTTTATTATACTGAGTCCATACACTTTGGTTTGCCAAAACAAACAACAATAACAAAAAACAAAACAAAACAAAACAAAAAAAAACCCTCCCTCTGATCTTTCATCAAGACAAAGGGAGGCGCTGAGCAGGTACAGTGAGAATTTCCTGTATTGTGGTCCCGGAACATTTAGAAGCTCGTGATTTTGCTGCTTCTGATTCTCACTGTCCATCCATTCTCACCAATAGAGAGGTGATTCAAGAACATTGTTTCCCTTCTCTTTTAACTCTCTTCTTAAACAACTTCCGACCCTTAAGTGTTCAGCTAAGTCCATGATCAGACACGGAGCTTCCAGAACAAGAGAATCTTCTCAGCATCGAGCCGGAGCACCCCTCTTCATGACAGGTAGGAGCAGCCCCTTTTACACAATTAGAAAATAATACCAGGCCAGGACTGGGAAACAGGTGAGATTTTTAGATTTCATATATATGAGTGTTTTCCACTTAATTTTATTTTTATGTTTCTTCATTGTGTAACACAGAAGATATTTTGTGAAGCTTTTCCATCAGTTTTAAAGGTTGGCTTCTGACTGAGACAGCACTAAATACTTAAGGGAATGATATACCAGGTTAAATTATGAACAACACAATTTGAGCATAGAAGTAAGTAGGGATCCCTCTCCTTCCTCCTCCCCTGCAGGATGTCTCTGATTTATAATTGTCTGTTTTTGCTTTGTTGTGTTTTGTACTGTTATTATTTTTTTACACTTATGTCTTATTTGGTTCCCCTATATTCCTGCTATAAGTGAAACCATCCGATATTTTTCTTTTTCCTTCTGACATATTTCACTGAGCATAATTCCTTCTAGGTCCATCCACATTTTTGTGAATGGCATGAGTTTATCTTTTTTGATTGCTGAATACTATGCCATTGTGTATATGTACCACATCTTCTTGATCCAGTCATCTATTTTTGGGCATTTGGGTTGTTTCCAGATTTTACCTATTGTAAATAGTGCTACAATAAACACAGGGGTACAGGTGTTCTTTTGAATCAATGTTTTTGTGTCCTTTGGGTAGATCCCTAGGAGTGGAACTGCTGGGTCATATGAGAGGAGCACAGGGGACTGAGGTGATGGTGCACGGGTGCATTGGTGAAGGAGAGTCTATGGGGACTACACATAAGGGGGATGGCGGAAAGCAAACATGGTTTAAAAATGAACAATGATGTAAAAAAGAAATTTACAAAAAAAGAGAAAGAAACCTGTTATCTAAAAAAAAAAAAGAAAAAAGTAGGGTATTTTTTTTTTAAATAATAAATTTTATTTTTATATTCCCCATACAATTGCAGCCCCCCCCCATTCTGACCCCAATCCCTCCCCTCCCGCCCCCGCCCCCCTAAAAGTGTCTCTGGTTCATAGTTTTTTGTTGATTTTGATTTTCACTTTCTTATAGTTATTCATTTTCCTGGTCCCTTATTTAAGTTTTCTAGATTCCTGCTATGAGTGAGACCATCCGGTATTTTTCTTTTTCTTTCTGGCTTATTTCGCTGAGCATGATCCCTTCCAGCGCCATCCATGTTGCTGCAAATTGCGTGTGTTTATCTTTTTTGAATGCTGAGTAATATTCCATGGTATATATGTACCACATCTTCTTGATCCAGTCATCTATTTTTGGGCATTTGGGTTGTTTCCAAAGCTTAGCTATTGTAAACAGTGCTGCTATAAACATTGGGGTGCAAGTGTTCTTTGGAATTGATGTTTCTGTGTCCTTTGGGTAAATACCTAGGAGTGGAATTGCTGGATCATATGGAAGCTCTATGTTTAGTAGGTCCAGAAATCTCCACACAGCTCTCCACAGTGGTTGGACCAGTTTGCATTCCCACCAACAGTGCAGAAGAGTTCCTTTTTCTCCACACCCTCGCCAACATTTGTTGTTGCTAGTTTTTTTAATATGTGCCATTCTCACTGGTGTGAGATGGTATCTCATGGTAGTTTTGATTTGCATTTCCCTGATTACAAGTGATGTTGAACATTTTTTCATATGCCTGTTGGCCATTTGCATTTCCTCTTCAGAGAAGTTTCTTTTTAGCTCTTCTGCCCATTTTTTGACTGGATTATTTTCTTTGTTGTTGTTGAGTCTCATCAGCTCTTTGCAGATTTTTGTGATCAGTCCTTTATCATTAGTGTTGGGTGCAAAAATGTTCTCCCAGTTGGTGGGGTTTCTCTTTGTTTTTGTTATTGTCTCTTTTGCTGTGCAGAAGCTCTTTAATTTGATGTAGTCCCAGCTGTTTATCTTTGCCTTCACTATCACTGCTTTGGGTGATGTGTCTGTAAAGATGTCTTTGATGTGCAGATCACGTAGTGTTTCGCCTATATTTCCTTCTATATATTTTATGGTTTCAGGTCTTATGTCTAGTTCTTTAATCCATTTTGAGTTGATTTTTGTGTATGGTGTGAGGTAGTGGTCAAGCTTCATTCTTTTGCATGTAGCGACCCAGTTTTCCCAGCACCATTTATTGAACAAACTTTCTTTGCTTCAATGCATAGTCTTTGCTCTTTTGTCAAAGATTAGTTGACCATAAATCTGTGGGTTTATTTCTGGATTTTCTATTCGATTCCATTGGTCTGTATGTCTGTTCTTGTTCCAATACCATGCAGTTTTGATGATTATGGCTTTGTAGTATAGTTTGAAGTCTGGGAGTGTGATGCCTCCATTCCCTTAAAAGTAGGGTATTTTGAATGTTAATACCAGTTCTTATAAGTTTATAAAAATTTACAATTTCATTTTGACACCCAAAAGTCAGCTGAATTAAGTTTCACAAGAGTGTGCCAATGTTAATGAAGGAACTTCTAATGTTCATTTGTTTTAGGGGAAATGCCCATAAAATGAGTAATTTTGGCTATGAGAAAAATGTAATCTCTTATTGAATGTTTGTTTATGCATCATTGTTCAAACTATGCAAAATAGATGCAGACCCCCAGGGGTCACCCCTACATTTGTTAAGGAACAATTCATTGCATCAGGTCCAGAGTGTCCTGTGCCTTTTCTTTCCCATTTGACTTCTAGAGAATTAGGAGCACCTGATATTTCTCTAACAGGAACTGCATTGAGATTATGAGAAGAGAACATTCCAGGAAACATTTTTCACAATGATGGATATGTTATGGGAAAGACTGTGGGACAAGGCAAATGCATTTTAATTTTGAGCTGAATACCTACTAGCTTTGATACCTTGAATAAATAACATTATTAAAAAGTTCTGACATTTCTTATCTGCCTAGTGGTAATCATGACAATTGTGATTGTTCCCTGAGAAAATAAAAGTTAATGTCCACTAAGTCCAAAAACACAACCATGTGCCTGTTGATCTCCTCTTACCCAGATCTCCATATTTCTATGCCCCCCCTACAAAATACTGCTTAATTTACATGATTAAGATGGATCTGGTAAAGAGGAAAAAATATGGATAATCTCACAGAAGAATAAATTCTGACATTGCTTAGAGTTTTCAATGAATTGCCTTCATTTTCCAATATTTTACTGGCAAGGTGATCAAGTTACCAAGCCAAATAACTTTTAGGATTCTCTCCTACTAGTTTCTATTTTTAAGAACTTCTGTGTTTTCTCTTGAAGTCATTACCCTACCTCTCTTTCTCTATAGCTTTTCAGACCATTCTATGGAGGTGGATTTCTGGAATCTTAGGAGTAACATGCCTTTTGTTGATGGCTACTTTGGGAATTGTGTTGAAAAACTGTAAGTTTTTCTAGACAACGCTATATGAAGTTTAAAACTTTGATGAAAATATTTAACAGTAAATTATTTCTTTACTGATATGCAAGCTTCTATTATCTCACAAACTTGTATCTAATAGTTTCTATAATTTCTTACAGCACTGTCGCCAGAAAACACCCTCTCACAGCACTCTCTCCAGGAAGGTTGGTTCCATTCTTTGTAAACCTTAGGTTTTGTAGAGGATGTAATAGGTAGTTTCCTATTATCCTCATAATGGAATGTTGTAATCTAACTATACAAACTGACCTACTAACTGCAAGATAAGTTCATTTCATTGTTGTCCATTATAAAAGTTATTAAATTATATTGAATATACATCATTCATATGTTTATATGTGAAGGAGAATATTAGCCTGAAATGACAAATTTTCCTACTTGAGTTTTCAAATTTAAGTGATCAAAAATATGTTGTAATTAATGTGAATTAATTGGCTGAGTCTTCTTATAATCCATGAATTTATAGCTATATGAACTAAGTGCATAGATTTCAGCATATCTAAGTTGTACCCAGTGAGTCAGCACAATCACAATTTTCAATGTATTTTACACAAATGTTCTCCAAATTGTCTCAACATTTTCTGTTATCATACCTCACTTTGTGTTTATCCTTTTTACCTTCAATTTTTTCTAGCTCATGGAATGCAACTGACATTGAACTTTGTGTAAGTTTAAGACTTAGAAAGTGTTAATTTGATAAACTTATTGTAATATGATGACACCAGAGTATTAGCTAGCATCTCCATTACATTTCATAATTACCACTTCTGTTTGTAATGAGATCATTGAGATCTACTCTTTCTTTTGCAAAACACAAGAGTATAATACAGTATTGCTGACTACAATCACAGTAATGAGAAGCAGATCCTCAGAACTTATACATGTTTTAACTGGAAGTTTATACCCTTTGATTTTCATGTTTTCATCCACATCCACAGTTCCCCCCTCATTCTAGTCACATGTCAGCACCACTCATTTTGCAAAGATCTGAGTGCCTACCACATGTCATGACTTCTGTCACTGAGGATTGTAAATGCTCTGGACACTAGTGTAAACTGTGGGATGAGACATAAAGCTGATTATTTTTATATCTTCCTTTATAAAATCAAATATCCATCATATGTATCAGAATTCTCCCAAGTACCATATTCATTGTTATTCAGGAAATATGCTAAAATACCTTCTTCCTTTAAATATCTCTAGGACTTAATTTATTCCTAGACCTAGTTACTCCATATATAGAAAACAGAGTAAATTGAAAAAAAAAATAGTTTTGTCTAGAACATTCAAATTTTCGCTTAGATATATTGGCAAAGAATTTGTAGAAAAATGAAAAAATAAATACAAATAATTTTTGAATGAGTAATAAATAGAATATCCAGAGTCAACAGTTATGTATTATTTTCCTCTTAGATTATGGGTATAGTTCTTGCCAAGAAAGATGGGTCGGCTATCAATGCAACTGTTACTTCATTTCCAGTGAATTAAAAATGTGGAATGAAAGCAGTGATATCTGTGCTAATCATAATTCTACTCTACTTCAGATGAACAACAGAGATGAATTGGTATGAATTTAATTATGGTTTACTAAATGTTTTCACACCCAGGAAAATGTACCATCTCTGTAAGCACAATATTTTGATTCCAGTCTTTAATCAGATTGTACTGGAGTTAGTTTTTGAAATAATGATCTACTAGTACTCTATAACTTGAAACATTTATTATGTAATCTACATGAAATTTGTCAAAGATTTATGTCAGTAGAATAAAATTCAAAGCAAATGTCAAATTAAATCCAAGAAATATTTTAGACAGACTGCAAAGAAGATATAATAGGTTTATTTTATTTTTAAAAAGCACTAAATATTTGTAATTTTTTGTTTTTTGTTTGATTTTGTTATTTATTATGCAATTTTCAATATTTGCCATCATTTTGGATGTGGAATGAATGTGAATTGTATAATCAGAAAAATTATTGAATTCTTAAGAAAAAGTGGAGTATTTCTCTAGCTACATGCAGAATCTGGGCTGAATATAGGTTGTAAAGATTATACCCACAAAATTTATCCCTTAAGATGCAAATGCAAAATCAATTTGAATGTTTATGTCTTGCAAAGGAAGTGTTCCATCAATATTCTAGCTCCATTTATAATTTTTTCATTCTGTGAGATTTTGTGGTATTTTTTCCATAAGCGAATGGGCCTGATATGTGAGGACATAGGAGACATGTGATTATCTCCAAAAATAAATGTCAGAAAAGATTTCAGTTTCTTTTATTGAAAGGCTGAATCTGATGACGGACACTAATTTTTTAAAAAATATGTTATTCAGATTAGATATAAATTATGTTAACTAGTTTCCGTTTCCAAGCAGCATTTTATGAAGCGTAATCCATACTTTTATTGGATTGGAGTCATCTACAATACAAACCGCAGTGCCTGGGTGTGGCTGGATGGTTCCGCTGTCCCCCAGGATCTGTAAGTTTCTGGATCATGGGTGTTCCCATTCTTTAAGGGCTTATTCTTGGATTTCATCAGAGAATATAGCTAAAATCATCTTTTTAGACATGAAAAGTACAGAGAAGAGAATAGATTCAACAGAATAACAATTTTAGCTGCATCTGGAACTTCCAAGTGTATGCCCAAGTGATATAAAGTTTGTGTACTTGTGAACATATAAGAGCTATTTTTTTAAAGATTTATTTATTTATGCATACAAGAACTGGGATATAAACCAGAGGTATGGGTGGTGAGAGGATTCATCAGAGAGAGTGGAGAACAGAACAGGCAGACTGTCTGAAATACACTGCTGAGGGGAGTAGTGGTCGTGGCAGGAAGGTCTGTGGTACCATGTGGGTTGCTCCCTGGCCAGCCGGGAATTGAACTCATGCTTGTGCTGTAGTGGCTGGCAGTAGCTTGATAGTGCTGTCGTTAACCCCTGCACCACTGGGGAGGAACAAATAAGAGCTTTTGACAATTTTTTTTTTCTTTTTCTTTTGCCTTAGAATTAGCACTGGGGATGTGTGCATGTGCAGACACCACTTTCATGGGACTGTCCTGAGCCCAGTTTTCTCAACTCCCCCCAACTCCCATGCCCTGGCTTTTTTCCCTAGACTAGATTACTCAATGCATTTTAATATAGATTGAAACAAAGTATATCAAATATCAAAATCATTAATAATAAAGGCAAAAGAAAAGAATCTCTGATCTCATTGTATTAGATTATAGAGATAATAATTGAGCTTTAATCATACTCTACTCTGAAATTGTGAAGACTGTGAATATTGAACAAAAAAATATAATGACTCAGTGTATTAATATCTTATTCAAATGCTTTGAAAATTCTACTACTAAATAAGAAAGGATATAACTAAACATTCTCATTTCCTTTTCCCATATTTTACCATTTTTACAGATTTCCATTCCCTCAAACTGAAAACACAAAGAACTGCATAGCATACCGTTCAAATGGTGATGTTGTATATGAACCCTGTGAGACGAAAAATTCTTTTATCTGTAAACAACTTACTTAGGTATTTCTTAGGTTGAAGAAGTGAGCAGTTAAAGTTCACCAGAAGAATGCTAACTCTCCCTCTTACCCTATTCCAATGATCTAATTCTGGGATCTGCAAAATGTTTCAAGTTGTCATATTATTTTCATATATATATATATATATATAAATGTTCTAAAAATAAATGTTCTAAAATATATAAATGTTCTAAAAATTATTAATGTGCACCACCATTTGTAATTATGAGACATCACAATAAGGACTATAATAAGTATGTTGGTTTAATACATGTTCATTATTGAACTTAATATATTTTATGTAAATTTTCCTTTCAGAAATTTAAATAAACAATTTAAATTCCTTTCAGAAATTTAAATAAACAATTTAAATAATATATGACAATATCATTTCAGTCTTTTCCATGGCATGCTAAACTGTGAAGATTTATCTTTGCTCATATTTCTGAATGTTAGTTTTTTCTGGGTACCTGTATATCATTATCATTTTTAAACTTTGGAAATTTTCTATTATGTGTCTTGATGTAGGTCCTCTTGCATTTAGATAAATATATGTTCTAGTGACTTCATGAATTTTTGTGGATAAAAATTCTTTCCCAGGTTTGGGACATTCTCAGCTATTATTTCTTTAAATAAGTTCTCTACCCCCTTCTCTCTTTCTTTACCTTCTGGGAAATCCATTTTCCTTCTGTTTCATTTCCTAATAGAAACCGACTGATGTAGCACTCATGTTTTCATCATTTTTTCTAAATCTTATCCTTTCTCCTCTACCATTTGATTCATTTCTAGATTCCTACTTTCTTCCTCACTAATTCATTCTTCCATATGCTCTATTCTAGTTAATATGCTTCCCTTAGCAGTTTTGTTTCATTTAAGGAATCTTCAGAACCAGGATCTTTGGTTCTATTTTTCTTTTATACTTTCAATCTCTGCTTCTTAAATTTCAGTCTCTTGTTCAATTTATTCCTGAGTTTTATCAGTTTTCAATCAGTGTTTCTTGTAGTTTGTTGTCTTCAGGGTGGCTATTTTGAATTCTCTTTCTGGTAGGCCATTAAATTCCAGATTTTTAAGTTAGATTTCTAGATATGTATCTTTTTTTCTTTCTGTTATTTGATGATGTATTTCTCTGGCTGGATATTTGGCTTCTCTCACATTAATAAAGTATCTTTCCTCTTATATGCAGTATATGATAATGTGGTTTTAGTTTTACATTTCTCATTTCTATCAGGGTATAGGATTGGAAAGGTAGGTAGGTAGATAGATAGATAAATGAGAGTGAGAGAGAGAGAAGGAAGGATCTATAAAATATGACACTATTTTAACGGTATTGACATTTAGAACTCTGGGTAAAGAAAATACATCAATCTTTGATATTACTTTTTCAGACAATGCTTAAATCTGAAATTATGTCAAAAATCTCAATCAAACAAAAACTGACATCAACATGTGAAGCCCTTTTCTCTTACATACTATACCCAGCCTATCATTAAATCTGAATTTGTATATATTGGAATATACATACGTATGCATGTGTGCATGTACCTGTGTATACAAGTTATCATTTCTTATCACCTCTCTTAAAACCAGGCCTGCAGCTGTTGATAAATTGCAGATGTTTTCATAATTTAATTTTTTAATTAAATTTTTAAATGTGTGCAATTAATTTTATCCTAAAAACAGATATTTCACTTTTCATATTTTTTAAGGAGTTTTGTTTCTTCAGTATTTACAGCAATAGTCTATAGCCTTAGGTCATCTGTTCTCTAGCAGCCCCATGTGTGACTGTGAGAGAGGAGGAGCAGAAGGCTTAGATTGTCCTGGGTCATTTTGGTTTGAAAGTGACCCAAGGGTATCAAAGTCTTTCTCACAACCCTTATCCCTCTGTTTTCTGTGTCTTTCCTACCCCACAGGATTATATCAGACACTCCACACTCTTCAACACTAGAATCCAACCACCCTGGTACTCACTCCAACACAGGGCCTTTGCACTTGCTGCTGCTTGTAATATCTGCTTTTATCTCCAAAATGCTGCTACCTCCTTGATACCTTGTCCTTTAGTTAATATTGGTTTCCATTTCTCACATCTCTCCATAAATATAACTATATCAAGAAGGTCTTCATTTAATTTTTCATCTAGACTAGGTCTTTGTTATACTCTGATTATTCTCTTTTCCCTGTTTCTAAGAACTTATTTTATTTGCAGTGTATATTATTAATGTGTTTACTCATGTCAATCATCTCTCTAGTTTGTAAACCCTGTGAAAGTAGACACAGTTCTCTGATTTGTACATGTATGTGTAGTACTTAAAGCTCAGAGCTTGACCAATGGCAAGAAATTCCTTGTTGGTCTGTAAAGTAAATTCTGTTCATTTTTTTCCTACTTCAGTGAGATTATGCAAACTGTACAATGTGTGGCTAACAAATACCTCCTGGCTCTCTAGAATCACATTTGACCATTATCTTGTCTTCGCAAAGCAAGATTTTTCTTGATATTCATTTTACCAGGCAATATTATCTTACCCAGACCATTCTTTCCTCCCCATCCATGACTGTAATGAGATAAAGGAAGGCTGCAATTATATATTATCATCAACATGAGTATGCAACTATACTAACAATTTGTATTGAAAGCACTCAATTTTTAACATCTTAAAATGGGATTATTTAATACCTACCAGCATGAAAGATTTTATTTAATATTTCTGTCCCAATAATGTTTTTCACAGTTCTTATTTTATTTGTATTATTTACTATGTAACTAATATGGTGATTATTATATTTTTACTGTAATAAATCATGAATTGAATTGAAATTAAAAAAACAATATGTGGACATCAATGTATAATAATATCAAATTTTTTTAAAGATTTATTTATTTATTTATACAAGAACTGCGGTACAGATCTGGTGCATGGGAAGGTGAGAGGATTCACCAGAGACAAAGAGGGGAACAGAACAGGCAGATTGACTGAAATACACTGCTAAAGGGAGCAGTGGGCGAGATAGCAGAGGTGTGCCACACCATGGGGGATTCTTGCTGGCCAGCCGGGATCTATCCCACGCTGCAGAGGCTGCGGACAGCTTCAAAGCGCTGTGCTCAACTGCCTGCACCGCCAGAGGAGGCCCGATAATATCAATTTTTGGCTCAATAAATATTTCACATGGTTGAAGGCATCACAGTGGGAACTCTTATATGTTCACTTTATTTTCTTGCTCATGTACTTAACTGGTCAGACTATATTATCATCTTACAGATACAATAGCCATCACTTTCACAATCCCCAGTGTTTACTTGACCATTTGTTACATATGTGCATTTATTTTCGGTATCCTTATGTCCTAGAATTTGAAGACTAGAAGAGAAAATAATGACCATTAAATGCTGAATTTGTTTTATATAACATATGCATTTTAAGATCTATAATATTTTGAACTTATAAAAAATAGAAATGATGCTATAGTTCTTCCACAACACAAACATTAAATTATGTTATGTCATGCAAATTTTTTTTAAATTTATTTATTTATTTATACAAGCACTGGGTAAAGTCAGAAAAGGGCGGGAGGGTGAGAGAATTCACCAGAGCCAGGGCGGGGAGCAGAGCAGGCAGAAAGACCGAAATACACTGCTGAGGGGAGCAGCGGGCAGCAGGAGAGGTCTGCGCGCCATGTGGGACCCTCCTCTGGTGGCCGGGGAGCAGCCGGGGATCGAACCGGCATTGAAGAGGCTGCGGGCAGCTTCCGCAACCCCGCGCTCAACTGTTGCGCCACCAGGGAGGCCCATATCATGCAAAATTTAATATTAAAATGAAATTGGTATGTTACTGATGTCTTAAATAATGGTTATTATCTCCATGATCTCAAGCAATTCCAAAGTATTGTCCATATTCACTGGGATTTACAGTTTTCCTCTACATATTAGCATTTTGATAAACTTCTAGTACTATATATGAATACAGCAAAATTGTTGTTAATCATCATTAATAATCAATTCTTTTCTGCAAAAAGTTTAGCTTGCTTCTTCAAGAGTAAATATCAGAATATTTTTACCAGTGGTATAGGCAATTATTTTAAATGATAAATATTTTAATATATTAAAAGGAATCAGAGCAATTCAGAGGGGCCTCCCTGGTGACCCAGCATTATCACCACTGTAGACTGAGCTCTATCCCCAGCCTAGGGGCTAACCCACATAGCACAGCAGAACTCTACTGTCTTGCCTGCTGGTCACTTTTGCAGTGCATTTCAGTGAATCAGCCTGTTCTGCTCCCCACTCTGTCTCTGGTGAATCTTCTTACCCACCACCCACACCTCTGGCCTTCACCCAGTTTTTCTACACCAAAAAAATAAAGTAATTCAGGAAAAGGTTCATGAAAATATGCTATATTCCTGAAGCAGGGCATTTGATTTCTATATGAAATGGAGGCATTAGAAATGAATATACATTCAATAAGAAGTTTAGATAATCTTGAAGCATTAATCTGAACACAGGGCTTATGTTGGAAAATTATTCCTTTATGTTTGGAAATATTGTAGGATAATGTGTATATTCATGAGCTCCCTTAGGAGAAATCACATATTTTAATTAGATTTCTTTATTTAAGATTTATTTGACATTAATGTATTGTTCAAGTTAGAGGGAGAAAGAAGAAATGAATGTAATATAGTTTTTCCATGGAGATGTTGTTGGGTGAAGTACAACTTCCACAATCTGATATTTATCATTTAATGTATTTTTCACAATAACCATATGGAGTTCTTTCCTTTATTCCTCTTTATAGATGATGGAACAGAAACTAAAATCACAGAATGATTGAGTAACAAGATCCCTAAAATGGTAGAACCAAGATGTCTATCCAGACAATTTATCCTCAGAATCTGTGTTATTAAATCCTCACCACATTAAACTTTAGAAGAGAAGACAGGGAAATCAGGGATTTGATATTTCATCTCTTCCCAGGGTCTTTCTAAACGAACTTCATATAGGGATGGGATTATAGTAAA